TGGTTCTGGCTTATCTGAAGGACATCACTGGACCCTTACTGGACCCCCTGCAGTTTGCTTACCGAGCAAACAGGTCCTTGGATGATGCAGTCAACATGGGACTGCACTTCATCCTGCAACATCTGGACAAAACAGGGACTTATGTGAGGATCCTGTTTGTGGACTTTAGCTCCGCTTTCAACTAGGGCTGTGACGATAACCGCATTACCGCATAACCGCGGTAATTAGATGCCGACCGCGGTGTTGAGGTCTTCACCTTCATCACCGCACTTTTTTTTTTTTTTTTGCTAGTGAAAGTTACAGAAGTGCATATGGTGTGTGATATGAATTATAAACAATAATCATTGTTTGTCAATTTACTGTCTTCCGTCTCAGGGGCGCCTGCAGGATTTCTTCCAAGGGTATGCACAGAGTTTTTTTGGGGGGGTGTTCTGCACGAATGAACAGTGAGAGCAGAACGAAGGTGTCACACGTTTTAAACTCAACAAAATGGTAAAATGCATATATCAATCAGTCCTCCAATCCGGTCCCAAAAAGAATCCGTGCAGACACTGAAGTCGCAAGGTATTTGCAGGAGGAAGCCCTCGATCTGCACTCTGATCCGCTTGCCTGGTGGCGGGATAATCAGGCTCGATTCCCTCTTCTTTCGAAAGTTGCCAGAAAATATATGACTATATGCGCTACGAGCGCTCCCTCGGAGCGTGTATTCAGTGCGGAAGGCAACATTGTCACTCCGTTAAGATCTTCGCTGAAACCAGACAAAGTGAACATGTTGGTTTTCCTGGCAAGAAACTTGAAGACCGAAAAATAAAGCAGCAGGACTTGCCGATTCACTTAAGCGGCCCAGTAGTTTAACAATGATGTTCCTGATGTTCCCTTGTGTTGCACTTTGAAAAACCCAAATCAGATTCAAACACTTTTATGTTCCACTTTTAAAAATGTTGTTATAAATGTAGCCTTATTAAGTTAAATAATATTAATGATAATTTGCTGTTAAATTATTAAAAACTGTTCCATAATTCCTATTAAACTCAAAAGATATCGAAAAAACAAAGTTGAAATAAATGTAATTTTATTTTATTATTGTTAATATAATTTGCTGTTTTAATAATAAAGAAGACTGCTTTATTATTATTCATTTCCATGTTCATTTACAAGCTTCATGCGTTCTTAAATCATTATATTTCCGCGGCGGGAGGGGGAAGGGGGTTGCGATTAACCGCCAAACCGCGGTGATTTGTAGTCTGTGTGCATTGAATTTATTTAATACACGAGTTTCACAATTTGAGTTGAATTACTGAAATAAATGAATTTTTCCACAACATTCTAATTTATTGAGATGCGCCTGTACTTAAGGTCTTCGGGATTACTAGAAAATTACAAGCAGGTGAGTTTGATCAGTGGCTCTCGAGGGCCAGAGTTGAGAAATCCTGCTTCATGACAGGCACCAATCTGGACTAGCTGTAGATGATATTGTGTAACACAGGCTTTCACCAGATGACAAAGTGAGAGGACAGTCACTATTCCTATTATGACGGTAAGTGTCACAAAAGCATTATTGTACTGAATCAAAGAAAACAACCAGTATCCTGTTAAAACAAACCTCCAGTTAAGATAAGAAACCCACAAGTAATAATAAGAGAATATCTACTCAAATGTAACCAATTAAGTGGTATGCAAAACATGCAATATTGCTCATTTGCACTGTAGACAGCTTTGTTCGTAGCGAATGGAAGTGATTTAGTTTGTCGCTTACTTCCAGTGTAGGCACACTGTGAGAAATCGTAACCTCCCACATGCCTACTATAAATACTCAAGTAATGGTGACAAAACATTTGTTGCAACACCCCTGAAGAAATCCCATGCTTCCTTGGATTTTAGGGGAATCCCTAAATGCCTAAAATCCAACTAGACAGGTTTTGGAGCATGCACATAAACCGAAAAAGGTCCCTAAAACTGTTGGTTTTATCATTGCCTGAGTCAAGAGGGCCAAATATGATCATCTCTTCTGTTCCTATCATTTAAATGAATTTAAATACACACATATCCAAACTTGGTTGATATTTTAGCACAGTTTCAGAGTAAGGTGGAAAGTGTATCATCTACATAATGATCATGTTGCACCTAATTGCATCTCCACACATTATAAATTACATTTCCAATCCTGACTGTAAACCGTCATGCCCTGAGTGACAAGCCTCTGCTTGAAGGGAAAATTCAGCCAGGATAATTCAACTTCTGTCACTTTACTCCCCCTAATGCAAACCTGTATAACTTTTTCTTCTGTGTAACATAAAAGACAGTTTAGTCTAAGTGGGGTTTTTTTTGGCCATACAGTGGAAGTCAATGGTAATCAATACTGTTTGCTTGTTAATAGGGCTGTGCGATTAATCGAAATCGTCGTAAAATCACGATTTGAGCTTGCACGATTTCTAAATCGCTTTATAGCATGATTTTCCGCACTCCCGACCTCCCGCAGTATGCTATCCGAACCAATCAGAATGCAGCGCGCCTAAATGGAGCACGAGAACAGAACAGACCGGGCGGGCATACAAACGTAACGCCAGGTTCACACACTCCGTCTGTGGTGCGTATTTTTTCCATGCCCATGTTAACGGTTCAGAGCATTCACACTGCACGCGATTGCGGACCGGCAGTGCGCTCCAGGAGCGGTGTGTCTGCAGCAGTCATGCTGCGATCGTTTCCGCACGGAATCTATTTCTGCTGTGCTGCACGCGCTGAATTAAAGTGACAGCGCATTATTCGCGGTAAAAATTAACATGCATATAATTAAAGTCTACTGTTTCACAGTCAACACATGGCTTTTTGACTAGATTTAAAACAAGGAAAAGTGCACTTTTAGATAAACAACGCAATAATAGATGGCACTCGTGGTGGTAGTTAAACAAAGTTATATTTATTGAGTTTAAACGTGAATATGTCTATGAAATATTGTATTACTTTACTGTGATAAAAGAGAATCACAATGCTGAAAAAGCATTTTCAGAAACAACGTTTGGATTTGAAATCAAAATATTGGATAAATGTTGTGTTTGTGGTAAACAGCCGTGGATCAGGAGCGGACTGCAAACACTTCCTGTGCGAAAGCAAAATGAGTCCGTGCTGCTTCTGCACCGCATACACATACTGTATACGCACTGCAGACGGAGTACGTGTGAACTTGGTGCAACAAATCTAGCTCAACATCTGAGGCAACGCCACAAAGAGCTCTATGACCAATGCATGGCAAAAAAATATCCCTGGACACGGGATTTTTTTTTCCCCTGCCATGTCTATTTTGTTACACCTTTACTTAGTGATTATTTTGCCTTGTGTCTGTTCTAGAGACATGTTACAGCTTTTTGATAAAGCTCTAATTGGTTTTCTTTTGGAAATATGTTTCAAATTCACACTGAATGCATTAATGACTGTAAAGCATGTCTGTGTGTGTCAAAATCGTGATTAAAATCGAAATCGCAAAATTGATCACAGAAATCGCGATGGTTTTTTTTTGTCTATATCACACAGCCCTACTTGTTAACATTCTTTAGATCATCTTTTGTGTTTCACACAAAAAGTAAATGACAGAATTTTCATTTTTGGGTGAACTATCCCTTTCAGAGGTTCAAGTAGAACAGCATGAAAAATCCATTAGCAGCGGTACAATCCATTGTAAGAAACCATTGTAAATACTACACAAAATCATTAACTACCCTGTGGAGAACTGACCAGCACAAAACCTAAATGAAATGTATCAAAAGATATCAGGCCACAGTCACTAATAATTTGTTGCATATTTAAGTGCATAAAGTTCACAAAATTCTTGCCAGGTTCACAAGTTATTTTTTCTTACCTTAATTAATTCTAAATGAGGGAATGTCAAACTCACCCTGCTCTCTAGAGGTGCATTCTCATCAAGAGCAAACAAAGTTGGTGCAAAAACTTTCCAAATTTACTCAAGAAATTATGTAGCTATGGTTTCTGTATCAAAACATTCATACACAGCTTTTTTTATGCACCTACATGTGCATACACTTATTAAAACTATTACCAACAGACAATACTTGAAACAACAGTACCTGTCTAAAATGTAAGGACACTTCACTGGTACAGCACTTCATTATCTTGCTAATGATCTAATGCCTCCTTGCATGGACCTAAACCAACCAACTTGGGTCTGTTTGTGCACTACTGTCTTTGTCAGTTTGGCAACAGTGAAGATCAAGCTGTCCAGACGTTTGAAGAGACAATCGCTGAAAAGCTTGCACAAAGTGTGGTCACCTGAGTAGGTAATAATGATAGAGTACCTTGGCTGTTACACATCACATTCTGGCAGCAGAAACCCATTTCATGTCAGTATGGCAGTCAGATGGACATGTCGGACAGCTGGGCCGAAGATTCAAGGGGAAGTATATCCATCTTCTCAGTCTTTTAAACTTGGCTTTAAAATGTAGGTCCAAAATTTCTGTTGATTGTCTGGTCTTCAATTCATTCAATATTATCATCTATATAGGAAAGAGGTGAAGAGGTCATGAGCAATAAGCATGTGTGCCTTAAAAGCCCATTCAAACCAAGAACGATAACTGTATAAGCATCCACACAAACAGACGCTAATATAATAACAGTTTATTATAAGCATGTGCTGCAGTTCTACTGTCTGTCACTTTAAATGTCCTTAAATCAGGATGGATTCGGATTGGATTTCAATGTTTTTATTGTTCATTAGCTGGAAAAAATATCTTTCTGAAAGTGATTCCAACAAATATCGTTCCTCTGTGCTATTAAAGTTGTGGTGTGGACTCTGCCAATTTTTTCTTTTTTTAGAATGATTTTTAAAACTATCTTTATCATTATAGTTATCGTCCTTGTTGTATACGAGTCTTTAGTTACATTATTTTATTGACAGTTTATTTATGGATAATTTATAAATTACTACACTGTGTTTGTTTAGAGGTTTGGCCTGTTGTATTTGCACAGACTAAATGCCATTTAAACTTGCCAACAAATTATTAATAAATAACAATTTTTTTTATTATTATTATTCTGTCAGCAATAAGACAAAACTGACACATAACAATAACTAGCCTAAACTATTTGAATTCAAACACAGTTGATGAAAAGATGAAGTATAATGCACTAACAATGTAAAAAATAAATAGAAATCACTGACTCAAATAATTCAGTCATATGTTGAGGACTGACTTGAGCTGAACGTATTTTTGCTAGGGGGTTTATTATAGGAACATCCTACATGAGATGAATCTACTATAACACTGTCACAATTAAAGTGAAATGTCTGAGTGAAATAAGTGTTGATTACGACATTAAATTTAGACCTGCTCATGTTGCATCACATTTGAGTTCTTTGCAGCATTGAGCATTACTGAGCATAACGAATGATACATGTTTCTGTAGAGCGTATGAATGCAGTGGCAAATCAAAGGAGTTTAGATTAGTCACCACTGAAACGCTGAAGTTTGTTTTAGTGTTTTATTCTCTCAAAGTGTGGATATGAGATTTCTTTTGCCATGTAGACAGCTTCAGTGATTATAAAGGGAGTTTTTGCGAGAGTGATGGGGGAATGTTCTTTGCTCGCTTTCTGTATATAATTTATTCTCAGTTTGAATAAACGTTTTGTTGTTCTTTCTACTAAAATAATCAGTGTTAAGTCTTTATTTTCTAATGCATAAAAAGCAATAAACTAATTCATAAATGGTTCTTTTGTCTGTGTAGCCAGAATGACACAAACACAAAACATTTTAATATATTATATTATTCAACATTAATAATCATCAGGACTCCAGGCAAAAAAAAAAAAAAATCAACTAAGGAGCCATTGGCTCCTTTAAGAAACAAAATTAGGTGCCATTTTTTTAAAGTGCCACAGAATAAACGCGTTTTATTTATTTATTTATTTTATTTTTTTAAACACTAAACTTTTCTGACTTTAAGTATACAGTCTCAAAGAATCATTACACAGAATCTGTGCCAATATCACAGACCATAATTAAGTTAACATCTGTTTTTTTTTTCATTAGTAACATTTATAATATATTATATAGGAGATGCTGAATTTTATCTTCAGCTCCTTGCATTCTTTCTTATCACGTAAACAACAGGTTAAGTAAAAATATGAATACGCAATATAGCGCATATATTTAGCAAAAATGCTCCTCTTTATAGTTATTCTTCTGGCTGACTGATGAGCTTATGGACGCCGAATGTTTTTTCTGAGGTAAATGTATTTTTACGTGGCATTGTTTATAAGCTTTAAACGTTTTCCGCAGTTTGAAACACTGAATGAGCGACTGCATGAGACATTTCAGTAACTGTCCTGTATCTTATAATATACCTTTTGGTGTCCATTCATGTTTATTTCATACTATAGTAGTAAAGAGAAAGATATGATGGGTTCACATGCTGCTTGAACTGAGGTGCTAAAGCGAGCGCTCATGCCACATTAAAGAGCGCCAAAGCGGTATTTGTTTTTAATTTTATGAATTTGGCAGAATTTTAAAGCTGATACTTTTATTAAATAGTAACAGAGCACGAAGCTTATTGCAATTATTGGACGGCAAGTGTGCTACAAATAATATGTTCACGCATTAACAGAACACAACATAGACTAAAGATCTTGATAAAAAGAAGCCATAAATATTAGAAATCTAAACATATTAGTACATTTAAGATCCAGTTAAAGAAATGGCTCATTGATAATCAGAGCTGTCAACATTAGCTTACTACTAGACCTGCTCTCGCTGCCCCGTTTGTTTTTTTGCTTTGTGTGTGTGTATGTGTTCATGTATTTGTCTGATGTTTGTCTGATTGTTGGTCTGTTGCGTTTCTATTGTACATCATAGCTTAATAGTACTTTTTACTAAATGTATTGTAATTGTTTTATTGTTATGTTAATATGTAATTTTACT